CCCACCCCTCCCCCACTCACACACACACCACTGTAAACATTGTAATATAATGTGAAAGATCTAAAATATGCGGTTGTGTCAAGAAACAATATTATGAATAACATATTATGGAGTTACTGAGATTAATAGAAATGACTTGATCGGCACAGAAAAAGAAACACTATTAGGCTAGAAAACAAACTGAAAGTGAGAGGCAATAAACTGCTGGTCCTGGCCTCCAGTATTTTACTCGTACTTTCTACACCCCCACACAAAATATCGACATGCACTGGACCCGTTAAATATGTAATAAAAACTGTCCTGTATGATTACAAAAAGTCAATTGATACTGTACCAGTGACGCTGTTCCAAGTAGATCTAGATCAACGTGTTCGGTTTGGCCTCGTACGAAGTACGAAGTTCCACGACATAAAGGCTTGAAGGGTGACGATTTAAAGTTACGAGCCGGTGCGATAACAAACGCGAAGGAATGAGGCTATGTCTCGACAAAACAACAGTGAATTCCACGTGTCTATTTGAGCGCCTTCAAATCGGCAAGGCGCTTTTGAATGTTGATACAAGTTTGTTTGGAATTACTTAAAACTGAATGAAAATCATTATCAGCAATAAATCTCTAGTCAACAGTCCAGCTGACAAAAATTTGACCGCCGGTCTTGCCCAGTTAACAAACCGCTCCTGAATCATCGCCGATCGGGGGTAAAGTGTTATACGGGGTGCCCACTACAGCTGGATCAGGCCGATCGCCCGACTCGATCGCCTGAAACTGAAAACAAACACGTTTGTTTTTGAGGCGATCGGGTCAGGCGATCGGCCGATCCATCCGTAGTGGGCACCCCGTATTAAAAAGCACGTTCAACTCATGGAACGCAATACAGGCAATCTTGCCCGTGTTCAACTTTTGTTCAGAGTCTAAAGTAAAATTACTTACATAAAGAAATAGGACTGCTGAAAGCGCTGAAGACTCCAGTGTGCCCGGTCTGATAAAGGTGCATCTGGAAGTAGTGAGTTCCTGGGCCCAGCCTTGTCACAAGTACACTGGCAGTGCAGGAGTAGCCTGCTCGTCTGTTGTTATTCACGCCGTCAGTTACATCACTAACTTGTATCTGCTGTGGATCACATTGATCTGATACAGCCGGAAGGTCTTACAACTGGTAATTACACACTCCAAACACACACACAGACACACACACACACGCACATATTCTCTCTCCCGCTCTCTCTCTTTCTCTCTCTCTCTCTCTCTCTCTCTCTCTCTCTCTCGCTCTCTCTCGCTCTCCATCTATCGCTATCTCTATCTGCGTACTGCAAAACCTCCTAAAGGACCAAAACCACCACTTGGAGCAGGGAAATCCTCGGGGAATTATAGTGAAATTTACTGTTTTTTAAAGACTCGTGTGCGACACCACGGACATTCGTCAGTTAAAATTTCTGGTGCACGTCATAAACGGACGTACGGTCTCGAACTGTGCTCACTTTGGTGGCAATATAAGCCGCTGTTTGCACAAAATCCTGTATGGCATCAACATACCACCAAGACGAAAGCTGAGAGACTTTGATCGTGCCAGAGCTATTGCATGGCTCCAGGATGGAATTTGAGCCCGAAAAGTTGCCAGAAGGCTCGTAGTGTCACTCTCTACATGTATCATTGTCCAACATCAAGCCACTGGATAAGTCCAAGAACGTCCACGTGCAGGTCGACCCAAGAAGACCATTCAGAGCGTTTGCAAGTGGTCCTTAACTTAAGCTGAAGTATATATATACGCACACTTTCTCTCTCTCTCTCTCTCTCTCTCTCTCTCTCTCTCTCTCTCTCTCTCTCTCCCTCCCTCCCTCCACCCCCCTCTCTCTCGGTTATTCAAAAGGGATTTTGTTTCTGTATCTACCGTTCTCCCGTTCTTCCATTCTCCCATTCTGCAATATCACTGTACTATTAAATAGAAGTTGTCCTTTTGCTTCATACACAGCTCACTAAGCTTGAGTTCTGTCTTCTTCTACATTTGAAATAACGAAGGCATATTTAAAGCAGGTGGAAAGCCTCCCAAAGTTCAACCTTTCGTCCTCGTCGGGGGAGGTGGAAACAAGACAAAGCAGGGGATAGGTGGGTCTGGGTGAGGTACGGTGTGACTTTATGTCACTGAGGCGTTACGCTAGCCATGAAGACCGACCCGGGTCACTTCGAAACGTTGCTGGCAAAGGGGGGATCTGGTGAAACCGTGACTGGCCGAGCAAGCCGACGGCGGATAATTACTGCTACGAAACAATCAAAGGAGAAAACACGGACAGATTCAAACGGAAAACAACCAGGAAAAGTAAACGGACAGCGAGCTAGAACAGCGATTAAAATAGGCACATGGAATGTCAGCAGACTTGGAGACAGAGAACCAGAAATAGTGGATTTCATGGAAAGACAGAAAATAGCAATCATGGGCTTGTCAGACATAAAGAAGAGAGGTAACTACAGCAAGCTGATCCATAAAGGCTACCTCCTGATCTGGAGCGGAACACCTTAAAATGAGAGAGTCAAACATGGTAGAGCTTTCATCATACACTCAGCTAAAATGGAAAAAATCTATTAAATCAATCAGATCTCAGATAGAATAGTGAGCTTAAAACTCATAGAGAGTGGCAAAACAACTACATACATCCAAACATACGCTCCCTGTAACGACAGCTATACAGAGGAAGATAGACAATCATATTTCCAAGACCTGAGTGACCATATTAACACCATCAAGAACAAAGAAGATATGCTTATCTTGGGAGACTTAAATGGCAGAGAAGAAGAACCCCCTGGGAAGAGTACTTGGGACACCATAGCGATAAAGATACAGACTGCAACAACAATGGAGAAATGATACTAAACCTATGCGCTGAGCACGACATGATGATTACGAACACGTGTTTCCAACATAGACAAAGCCAAATCAAGATCTGTTACAAATGGAGTGACAAATTGATTTCATCCTGATGCTCAGAAAACAAAGACACAGCCAAAGATTCGAGAGCGGTTCCAAACTACATCATCGACACGGACCATAGACCTGTGATACTCTCACAACCAACAACGTAAAGCAAACAAAGAAGAACAGGGGAAAAACCACGACTAACCTAAGAAAATTGGAAGACCAGACATCAAGAAAGCAGTCGAGGCTGACATTACCAAGGAGTACAACATACTGTCACCTGAGATCAAAGACGTAGAAGACGAATGGCAAACATTCAAAAAATCCCTGTCAGAAATATGAAGAACAGCTGTGGCACCAAACAAATAGGTGGAAACAAAGACAGAACAACTTTCTGGTGGAATGATGAAACCAAAGAAGCAATTAGAATGAAAAAGAAGAAATTCAAGAAATGGCAGAAGTCAAAGACCGAAGAAGACTATATAGAATACAGGAAAGCGAGAAGAGAGACCAAAAAAATCATCAAAACTGCTCAAGAAAATGCATGGAAAATATGTAGCGAGGAACTGATTAAAATTTGCAAGGAAAACCCAAGAGAATTTTTATAAAAGTGTGAAGAGCATGCGGGTAAGGAAAGACCGTCACAACCCAACCTGCATTATAAACGATAAAGAGGGAAAAGCCGTTCTCGGCAAACATGTCATTAAGACATGAAGGAAAAATTACTTCCAAGAACTACTCAACCCAGACGCTTGCCACGGACAACAACTATCATATGGAGATCAAACAGAGCCACCAATACTTCCCAGTGAAATAGAAAAGGCATTCAAAACCAGCCCCAAGAACAAAGCCCAAGGACCAGATGACATCACAGCGGAAGCCATAAGAGTTTGTATAAACACCGGTATACTGTGGCTGAGGCGAATTTTCCACAGAGCCTGGGAGCAAAGAAAATGCCCAGAAGACTGGCAGAAAGCCATAGTGGTATCATTATGGAGAAAACGGCAACACACTGCACAACCTACGGAGGCATGTCCTTGTTAAGCCACTCAGGGAAAATATACGCAAAGATACTAGAACAGTGCATAAGACCTATTGTAGAGAGAAATCTGAGCAAAGCTCAGTTTGGATTCCGAAAAGGAAGGGGATGCACGGATGCTGTATTCGCATTACGACAGATATGTGAAAAGACAATCGAACACAACAAAGAATCCAACATGGTCTTTATAGACGAGGCGAAGGCTTTTGACAGAGAAAACCATGCAAAACTCTGAAAGACACTCGAAAAGTATGGCGTCAGAGGGTAAATGTTAGATAATGTCAGAGTTCTATATACCAACAGCAGAAGCTCAGTAAGAATGAAAGAAGGCAATACAGACTGGTTCAAAGTAAGATCTGGAGTACGACAGGGGTGTGTTCTATATCCACTCCTGTTTAAAATATATATGGACACAATAACGCAAGGCGCAAACCAAAGCCTAGAAAGCCTAACTAAATTTTAGTTCTCAGACGACTAATATCTTATTCATCATGACCAACAAAGCCTCCAAAATCAAACTACCGAACTCAACAACAGCTGTGAGAAATTCAACATGAAAATAAGCACATCAAAAACAGAAGTTATGAAAGTCAGCCAAAGCAATAGTCCCCTGAACATCCATGTCGATAGTAAACAACTGAAACAGGTGAAGGAGTTTAAATATCTTGGAGAACTTTTTTGAAAAACGGATCCATTGACAGAGAAATAGAAATGCGAACTCAAAAAGCGAACGCTGTCACCTACCAGCTCGCATCCCTCCAATCTCATCCAAACATCTCCATGTACACAAAGAGACAGCCTATTACCTCAATACTCATACCAACATTATGTTATCAGTGCCAGACCCGGACTTTTAGCAAAACCCATGACAGCAAAATCACCGCATGCGAAATGAAATGCCTCCGCAAACCATTAACATCACAAGACGAGGCAGGCAGAGAAATGAAGAAGTAAGAGCAGCTATCGACACTGAGTCCTGCCTGCGTTACATAGAAAGACAGAGGATAAAATGGTTTGGCCACCTCTTACAATTGTCACCTGACCAGCCAGCCTTGAGAGCCTACAACACCAAGCACTCAGGCTATAAAGGAAGAGGAAAGCCACGCAAAAGGTGGATCGAGGGTGTCAAGGAAACCCTAAACCCTCACAAAACATAACATCACAACTGAAAGAGCTGCGGAGCTGACCTACCATAGAAAACTGCATCTCCCCTCGACGCTCAAAGGCAACAGAGGATAAAAAGGTAAAAGTAAGTAAGTAGGAAAGTATTTTTTAGGGCACAGCACAATATACATACTTGTGGATGGTGAGATCTAGATCTAGTAGTGTACAGTGCGCAAAAATAGGTCCCTCTGACTCCACTTGGGATCCCATCAGCAGTACAGGTGACACACACCCTGTTGTTGTTGTTCCCACACAACCGAGGTGGATCACAAACAGGGGTATAAGTAACGGCTGGATGGAAAGAAGGGAAAAAATATTTAGGTCTATGCTGATTCTGACTTGTTTATCGAAAAAGGCATTAAATGAAAATAAAGATTTCGCCAATAAAAATTGTATTTGAAGATTCTTCATCACTACTGCCGTAATGATTGACACATAAGTTAATTAAGTTAAGAAATGGTGAGAATTTGGGAAGACAGGGAGGGGAAGACGAGAAAACCGAGTGAAATATAATATTATTATCATTACTTTTAATTTTTCGACATGTTAATGTTCTTGCTTTTTGGAAATGAATAATCGGATGAATATATAGATATTAGAATTAATAACATCAGCAAGTGTACACGCGCAATTACATGATGCTCAAGGAGTCGTCTCATGATGATTATGATGATGATGATGATGATGATGATGATGATGATGATGATGATTTTTTTGGGGTTTTTGTTTCCTTAATGGGCCTGATGGACTCTACAAAGAAATCTTCGAGCGAGAGCGAGGCTCTTTTTCGGCTCCATTGTCAATATGCTTAGCGGCACCTCCAATCGTCCAAATAACTCCATTCGAATTGCCATTGTTCCTGGAAATTCAAACTTATGTTTGATATCCCCCTTTTCATGGCCGCATCTTCGGCATTATGGGCTGAGCTCTTCATTTACAAAGTTCTTATACCATCTTAGGCTCCAATGATGGTCCGACAGCAGGCTCGCTAGCTCAACCTGGTCCCTGCGACATGTGAATATTTTTGTTCCCGCTTAAAGGAGTACCCAGAATACACATGTTCCAGGTGGTGGTACTTAGTTCTACATGGTGGGTCTCTGATTTCTCTCTTGATCATTGGAAAGACTCTTCTGTTTGTCGTTGGTCGTCTGTCTCCCTCAATCTCTCTGGCTTCATCAGCAGCTTGGTCTGCTGCCTCATTTCCTTCTATTACAACATGGCTTGGAATCCACTGGATTTTTATTTTGGCTGTGGCTTCACTGAACTTGCGCGCAAATCGTTCATGTCCGAGCTGTTTCCTAGCAGTCCCTTGCAGAGGGACTGACTGTCAGTCAAGATCAGCACATTGGTTCTGCTGTGGCAATTGTCAGCAATCCATTGTGCAGCAGACATCATTGCCTGACATTCCTCGTCATAAGATGACGTAAGGAATACACCTTTAGTTTTAATAATTTCTGTTCGTGTTGGTTCATCATTCATTATCACCACTGCTGCTGCTCCACTTTCGCGGTATCCTGCGACAGCCGATCCATCGGTGAAAATTACCAAATTGTCACATCCGCACCAACCTCTTTGATCACGTACTCTGCTGCTTCACGTGCTTTTACAGGATCATCACCTTTTCCTTTTACTCCTCTCAGTTCTGTCCGAATTTCAATTTCGCCATGGGTCTCCCATGAACAAACTCTCACCAGATTGATCGGCCATCGATTTTCTGCTTCTGGCGGGAGGTGGTCTGCTAGATCGGTGCCCATCCGAAACCAACTTTTCGTGCTGTTTTTAGGTTTGACTGCTTAATCAATGGCTTTCTTTCTAGGATGGTTGTCTGGTAATCTCTTAGCCATCTCTACAGACTTGAGGCATGTTCTTTTTGTATAGGTGGTGTAGTGCTCAGTTCTGGTCTCATAGCGCAGCGCTTCTGTTGGTGTTGTTTTCAGCTGACCTGATACAAGTCGGAGGGCTTTGTTTTGTATTCTGTCCAGGGCCTTTGCACTAGTCTCACTCAGCCAAAAGGCTGCCACGCTGGGGCAGCATAATCCATCTTTCTTTTCGCAAAAATCTTATATACTTTTTTGAGCGACTCCTTACCCCAGCCCCATTTTGAGTTGCTGACAGCACCGATAACCTTCATTTTTGAGGTTGCACTTTTAGACACTTCCTCAATGTGCTTGTTGAAGGTTAGCTGTCTATCCAGGTAGACTCCCAGCAGGCGTGGAGTGGTGTTGAATGGTATCTTTTTCCCTTCGATCTGAATTATTGGTTGCCACGTTGCCTCCTTCACCCATGATGAGAAAAAGCACACTTCACTCTTGGTTTCATTCAAGGTAAGCTTCCATTCATTGCTCCATTTCACAACCATATCCACAATCAACTGTGTCGCTTCATTTGCCTTTT